AAACAGTATCATAGCTGTGTTTTGTTATGATTTTAAATCTGTATTTAACCTCAGAACGATCTAAAAGTAAAAAGAGGTGCTAAAGTCTGCTTTTGTGGTGGCTGTGCTTTAAAATTAAATTATTATTATTATCATAATTCAGGTGATGAAGGATTCTGAAAGTCTGATAGTAATCAGTGTTGAGTTCTACTGTAAGGTTTGTTTCAAAATGATTAACAGTTAAAAACATTCATTAGAAATTTAGAAAAGTAATCAAATGTAATCAGTTACATTACTTTAATAAAGTAATTGAAAAGCTACACTACTTATTACATTTTAAATAGAGTAACTTGTAATCAGTAATCTATTACATTTCCAAAGTAACCTTCCCAACACTGCATATGGGTCAATGACAACGCTCATTTTTTCTGGCTGGATCTATTCATTAATTACAAAATATATATTAAATAATACCATTCATGCATACAGTGATTAGAATAACCCTCTTATTATATGATGAGAATTTTTTTTTACATTTCTGAATTAATATTAATATTCTGGTATTTTGGGGAGCATAAAGTAAAACGCATCAGGGTGATAAAACATTCCTGATATCATAATGAAGTTCTGTTATATTTCTGGAGAAAACAAAACCTACTACGATGTATATTAATGCTTGAAAAACAAAGTAATGTTGTGCACACAACATGCAGAACTCTACAGGAAAAAAAGACAATAAGACAATTTTTTTTAAAATAACAAGGCAAGGTTAGTTCAGTTTGTAAAGTATCATGTGGTACAATTTCCCCAAAACATAATATTTATAAATAAATAATCCACGAAATTTGAAATAAAAAAAAATATTCACGATTAATATGTGTACACTCACATTTAATTAGTGTGTGAGGAAAAATAGTTTTTACTTGATAGTTAAATTACATTTTTAATGATTTTAGTCATTACATTTAAACCTTGAAAATGAAATAAACTCATTTAAAACCATATGAAACCAACATTAATACAAATAATACATTTTGTTTCTTGTCAAATGTGTACATTTCTGAATTAATATTAATATTCTGGTATTTTGGGGAGCATAAAGTAAAACGCATCAGGGTGATAAAACATTCCTGATATAATAATGAAGTTCTGTTATATTTCTGGAGAAAACAAAACCTACTACGATGTATATTAATGCTTGAAAAACAAAGTAATGTTGTGCACACAACATGCAGAACTCTACAGGAAAAAAAGACAATAAGACAATTTTTTTTTAAATAACAAGGCAAGGTTAGTTCAGTTTGTAAAGTATCATGTGGTACAATTTCCCCAAAACATAATATTTATAAATAAATAATCCACGAAATTTGAAATAAAAAAAAATATTCACGATTAATATGTGTACACTCACATTTAATTAGTGTGTGAGGAAACTTACTTGATAGTTAAATTACATTTTTAATGATTTTAGTCATTACATTTAAACCTTGAAAATGAAATAAACTAATTTAAAACCATATGAAACCAACATTAATACAAATAATACATTTTGTTTCTTGTCAAATGTGTTTTTTTTTTTTGTGGACACTATTAATTGACCCATATAATAACTATGTCAAAGATCAAGGCAAAATGTTTTTGTGTTAGAGTTTACATTTTATTAATGTTCAAAAATATTACAATTATAGCTATACCCATATCATCTCTATTGTAATTTTTTCACCATCAATTAATGACCTGTGCAGAATGAATTGAATCAAAAGAGCTGTTAAAATGCTCTGGCTGTTATTAAATCTGCTAAGCTCTTTAAGTTCCACGGGGTCTCGCTTGACTGATGAAACGGCCCCACCCCTGTAGGAGAGGGGCTGCACATCTGCTGTCCTTTTCTGTCCTTTTCATTGACAAGAGAGGGCCTGCTGCCCCCAGGAATGCAGGACAGGGACATGCTCTTCCCTTAATGAGGATATCTGTGAGCACTCCGGTCCCTTCTGCTCGTCACACTGCCATGGCTTGATCCGCTTTGGGCTCAAATACCTGCTGGGCTGTCCGTCAACGCAGCCTCCCCTAAACCCTTCACTGATGGCCTTTCCTCCTGTTTGATCCTTTGACTTTCTTCTTGAAAGCCCTAAGTAAGCCATCACTACAATATACCAACACTGAGGGGGCTCGAGGGAATTCAGCTTTGGATGAAGAGTAAAGATGTTGTCGAGGGCAAGGATTTGAGCCACCTGCGTAAATGTGGGAGTGCGGTACGGTGTTGTGTGCACTTTTCTCACTCACCGTAATCTTTCTTGCAGTACTTCTTCATATTGATCTTCAGCTTGCCTTTGGAAGCCTTGCAGTAGGATTCACAGTCTAAAGTTGGAGGGCAAAAAAACACAATTAAAGAATGTAAAAGAGGGAACGTTGTCAAAAAAGAGACACTTCTGCAAACTACACACATGTCCTAAAGCCCTGGCCTGTTGTGACACCCATCTGCCCAGTTTAATTTTGAGGCTGTAATAGGGCTTGTGAGGCATTCAGCGAAGTGTCTTTTGCTCCTTAGAAAAGCAGGAGACAAAAGGTCCCTCTCGTTCTGCTCTCTGGATGTCTGGACCCTCCCCTGCTCTGATGGGAGCCCTCTAAGGCCAAGCGTATTGTGCCACCCAGCAAATTTTTTTTCAGCTCCATGCTAATTTCTCACCCTTGTCTCCACTGTCAGTGCCATGATGGGCCTGATTAGGGCTTTTTGAATCACAACTTCTCCCTCCCGGTCCTGTCAACCCACCCTGTACGTCTGTCCTAATGCCACCCTCCCCCACTGCAACCCCTGAAGACCATTTCAACCTTTGGCATTTATTGGTTCAGCACTCAGGGAGGTGGTGGTGAAGGGGGAGCAAGGGTTGTCCGAGCACAAAGGGAGGTCAGGAGGAAATTAGCAGCGCATAAAGTGTGTGTAAAAATAAAGAAGAAACATGGCGTTTTGGCCAAGAGATTTGGTTCAGATTGCATTCCTTTTTTTTGTTTTTAGCACGCCCAGATAAATAACTAAACTGTTGTGCCTCAGTTGCTGTACGACATCACGGACACGATTAATTCATTAAAAAACACCTCTTTGGAGCATGCAGATGTTTAAATAGAGAAGATTTCTCTTGCCGTTCCCCTTACGCCCCACACATTGTCATGGCCTTCTTTTAGTGGATGGATGAAATGAGAAGACGGAGGAGGGGGAGAGAAAAACCTTTCAGCTCGCCTGCATATGAACAAACTTCATTGTTTCGGCCGACCCTCGCTCCATGCCTGCCTTTTACTTTCTTTTGGACTCGCTATTCTCTCTGTGTGAATGAGGTTGCCCTGGGAACGAAGGAATCAGAAAAAAATGCCCGTGAAAGTAGTCGCGCCGAAGTGGTTGCGCGAGGGACTCCGAGGTGGGGTTGGGCGAGTCAAAGCGTGCACACTGTAGATTGGAAATGGCAGAGAAACTGTAACCAAAATGAAATTGAGAGTCCATAGTGTGGCAGCTTCATTTCCATTTAAATGAAGACTGTAGAGCAACTGCTTTGTTTTCCTATAACCCTGTTTAATGCCATCACGATACTTCCCTTTGAAAGCCATCATTTCTCATTAGCTCTCCTTTAAGGAGGTGATGAGCACCCTGAGATTCCTATTTAAACATCTCGTCCCCCGCAGCAAGGACAAATGTCCTCATTGTGCCCCCTCTTGAGTTAGGGGAAGTAGGGTTAGCTCGCCGTCCCGTCATGATGCTCCCACAGAGGCCGGTGTCGCCTTAATGGATGTTTTTCCTGCCGTCTTTTCGAGCGAAAGCTGTGTACGAGAGATTTTGGCACCAAGTCTAGTGGTGCTGTTAGTGGTGCCAGTGAGTAAAAGAAAGCTGCGTGTAAGTTTGAATGTGAGGCTTGTTTGACACTGAAGAATGAGTGGAGGGCACCGGTTACACGCTGACTGTGGAGACCCCTGCGGGGACTAATTCTCTCCGTCGCTAGATGTCGAGGGAAGTTGTTGGTCTGGAGATTCGGCAGAGAATAACTTTTCGCCTAATGAGTCTGTGCTATTCAGCATCACTCAGCACTTCTGAAAAGCCTTGACATCTAACACTGACAATCTAACCTGCTGGGTCATTTAGAGCTTGAAGACGGCCAGACACTGTACTCCGTTGATAGCAAAAAGAGCCTAATGCTGACCTGAGGTCTGTTTCCAGTCGGACCTCTGATGGAACGGACAATCCTATTCATGGGCGCATCGCAGATCTGGGAACTGTAACAATGAGGTGTGAATGAGCGCACAGGGGGAAGGCTTTCTCTGTGTGGAATGAGACTGATTGAGAAACAAATTGCTGCAAATAAAGCATGTAATTAGATTATAGCCAGAGCCCCAAGCTCCCACTGGGGCAGGGACTCAATGGGCAAGCTGGGTCTATTCCAAAGGGAACTGCTTTTTTTCCTCCTTCCCTCTCAACCTCTCAAAATATCCTTCTCGTTTTCTGTCGTTCTTTCATTTCATTCAGGACATTGGGAGAAAAATAGCTGTCTCCCGAACTCCGACAATGGTTTAAAGAAACAGACCAGACAGCGCGTGCAGTTTTGATTCACAGTTCGTTTTGGTCACGGTAGCATTGCTCTAATGGGGAGAGAATGGATAGAAATCAACTTCGTTACTGTAAATGAAGCCCAGAGATGTGTGGGGACCATCGCCAACACTCGAAATGGGAGAGAGGAGAGGCCAGCTTTAAATTAGATGAGAGCTTTGCATTCATGATGAGACACTAATTCAACACTATTCACTCTCTTTTTGTCTCTCTCTCTAATTCTCACTTTCGCTCCCTCTATCTCTCACTCACTCCCCTTTTTTGTGCGTTCCTTTTATAATCACAAGGAGCCTTGTTGAATTCTATGGTACCATTTGGTCTTACAAGGGTGAAAGTGTTAAAGGGATAGTTCACCAAAAAATGAAAACTGTCATTATTTACTCACCCTTGTGTCACTGTATGACTTTCTTTTCTGTCAGAAAAAAAGGCATGGTTGAGGGCTGTTTGTGATCACATTGGGTAAAACTACTGTCTCATAATAATATATTATTACACTAATATAACCTTCAGGGGTAGATAAGTTACAAAGACCAATAAGTACCCGTGTTAAATGGCCTGAAAAAATGTAGCATATTTTTAAAAATTGTTCTTACAGAGTTCTGTGGAATACAAAAAGTACATTTTGGAAGAATATCCTGTCCACGCAGTTCCACTTAATGAAACAAAATAGGAACTGGAGCTCTCAAGCTCCAAAATGACAAAAAAAAATTGCCATGAAAGTATTATAAAAGTTGTCCATTACTCTATATCCCATGGCTTCTAAAGTTATGCAATAGTTTTGCATTAAGAACATATGTAAATTAGCCTGTTTTCAGTGAATACAATTTGATTTCAGTGATTTCAAAACTATTTACAAACAAATATATTATAATGCACATACAGTAGTCACTTTTTTATATAGTTTTATAGTGTTTTCTGTCATTTTGGAGTTTGACAGTTCCCGTTCCCAATCTCTTTCATTATATGGAAAAGAGCAGCCATGATATTGCCTCAATAAACTCCTAATGTGCAGCTTATTAATAGTTAGTAAGGTAGTTGTTAAGTTTAGGTATTAGGTAGGATTAGGGATGTAGAATATGGTCATGCACAATATGTGCTTTATAAGTACTAATAAACAGCCAATATGTTAATAATATGCATGCTAATAAGCAACTAGTTAATAGTGACAATTGGTCCTTATACTAATGTGTTGCCAGATAATTATGCGTTTGAAACAACATGAGGTTGAATAAATACTGATATATATTTTTAACTGGTTATGATAATATTACCATTATTTACAACTAAGCATCTGCAAATCCATGCAAATAATGAGGCGCTGATCTCCTAATGCAGGTTTGTAGAGACATCTCTGTCAGTCATAGATGAGTGTGTGTCTGAGGGATTATGCAGGGGTCTTGGGAGTGGTGACTCACACCATGTATGACCTTGCCACACAATATGTGTTTTGTCTGAGCTGAGCAATCGGAGGTATTCGCAATGCATTCCTCCCCTCCATGTGGCAGTGCTGAAGACATATTAATATCCTTCTTCTCCTCTCCTCTCTCGATTTTCCTCTGTCCTCCAGCCGTTCCCCTATTTCATTCTCATAGACACCTGCTATACAGCTGCCTGCCCCACCCTTCTATACAAGAATGTACAGGTTCTCTCTCAATCGCATGCATTTTTCAGCGTGGGCGACTGCTACAGAGAAGGGTGGAGGTGCCCTGATAAGAACATCTGTTTGCAATCATCTATTGGATGAGGTCATATTTTTCTGCCATATTGCGCTATCCTGAGGTGAGCTTTGGGCCCGGAGTGAAGGTATAATGTATGCGGTCCCATAGCAGGATGTGTGGGTGGTCTGGAGCGTCCATTTTGATGGGGGCACTCAAATATGTCTGTCCTGTGCTCCACCTCTCCATCAGCTTGATTTGGAATGCTGCACTTTCCATGGAGGGTTGCTCTCGAAACCAGATGGGTCGAGCATTTTAAGGGCTCAAAATCAGTGGTGCCCCCATTGACTGGATTAATGGTCTTGCCATTTTTGCTAAGTTTTTTAAAATATGTTGACTTTGAAATATAACTGGCCAATTGTATTCCATTAAATGATTGGAAAGGGTGTATTTCAAACATTTTCTGAACATTTAATAATTTTGCCTTTATTGTTTGAACTGAAATTCTGAAATTAATTCGTAAAAACAAAACAACAACAAAAAAAATACAATAGCAGCATCATATTAGTATTTCCATAGAAAAGAAATGTCTAAAATGTGACAAATGGTGTTGACAAACAAACAAGTAAATATATACATAAATCATTATTTTTATATTAATATTATATATAAACAAATGATAGATTTTGTTTTTTAATTGTTCAGCACTCTTTTCTGCAAAAACAAAAGACAGGCAAAATGCAGCTATCTTGCATTTTATTCATTTAAAAAATCTTCATATAGATATAAATAATATCTAATAAAATAGATAATATCTGCATTGTACCAGTCTTAGAAATAAAAAAAATATATTTTCATATTAATATAAAATATAGACAAATTATACAGTATAGAGATCATTTTTATTTTATTTTTTTCAGCACTGCTTTTTCTTTTCTACAAAAATACTAAGACGAGCACAATGCAAGTTTAGTTTTACACATGTGCTGCCATATGCTTTAGGGTCAGGCCATGACAAATGGAAACACATTGTGGTAAATGTTTTAACCTTTTCCCTCCGCTTTGCCTATTTGTTTATTTTGCATGGGTCATAACACCCTCTATCTCAAATCATTGATAGTCCATTAAAGAAAGTCAGTTTTCACAATGCAGTTCTGACATTTGGCAAGCGCCAAACTACCAGTCATGAAACACAGAATTGGTTTCAGATGGGCTAGAGAAGAGTGAGTCGGTATTTTAGGACAAAGGAGGAAGAAATATAGAGAGAATAAAAGACGATGGAAGAAAAATGTGGGGGCAGAGAAAATATCCCAGAGAAGAATGAAATAAGGTCCACAAGAGAGAGAATACCAGCAGCTCTGCTGTCAATCTTATCTGTCAGTAAAGCATTAGAGGTCTGCGACGATCAACCAACAGCTGCAAAGATTTTTTGCACGCTAGAATTCCTCTGTCCGTGAGAATGACGAATATTTCTTCAACAAAAACTTTCCATACGGGCAAACTAAAGCATGTTCACTCTCTATGTTGAAAATACTATGTTGGAGAAAAAAAAGAGAGAAGCTGATGGCTCAGGGAAGAAAACTTGGGAAATTAAACATCTGATCAGGAGACACTTAGTCTGTAATTGCAAGAAATTTTAGGGAAGCGTTTGTATATTTGCGGACAGTGTTTTACTGTCTGACGCTGAGTGAAATCATTTGGCAGGCATGGAGGTCAAGTCTGACGTTCTGCTTACTTTTAGACGTATTTATAAAACATCTGCGCCAAGAACGAACACGTCAAGGGATGTAACTGTAAAAATAGATCCCCTTAAAAATGTCAGTTCCTCTTTCATGATGGGTTAGAATGAATCAAATCCCACTTTACGCACAAAAATGAGAAAAACCTTAAAATCAATTCAAAAAGGCCTCTAAAGCACCACATTTAGAGCAAGTTTTACTAAACAGGGCAAATTAGCACGAGAGCGCAATTCCAAAACAGCGCCGATGGGCGGGTGATTTACTAACAACGCGCAAATTAAAGAACACAGACGCAACATCTCATTTACATATCGACCAACGCAATATACCAAGCGCAGTGCAAATTAGCATAGTTGCAAATAAACAATAAAGAAATAAAGAAGCCACAGTGCATTGAAAAGAACCGGAGGCCAAAAAACAAAGGGTTGCAAGAAGTTTTGATAGATCTGGTATTACGTGACTCCTAGTTGAGGGTTCAAAGTCATCTTTTATTTCCTGAAGCAAATTAAAAATAACATGGCTTGGCAAACTATATGTTCGGATAATGTGTTCTTCTGGTATTCCAAATAAATTAATACGTGTGGACAAAAATCCTCTCCCTTCTTTCACGTGCTCTGTTCTCTGCGGTGCCTCCTTTAGCAACAATAATTGCAGCCATATCAAGCGCAAAATAGTTTAAGACATGCTTTTTTGGGGGTGTTAAATAATGGCGCAAATACCAGTAATTTGACGAGCGCAAACATTAGTTAATCTCGTTGCGTGATTCATTTTAATACTCCCCTCCCATAAATTTTTGCGTCTGAAAGGGAAACACCTACAAATGCATATTCAATAAGGTCAGGCGCAAAAATAACTGTGTCCACGCCTTTTCAGCACAAATTCGTCACTGTGCGTCTTTGTTAAACCTGACAGTAGTATTATAACACCAAAAGACAGTTTGCGCTGGTGCAAACAAGCTGTTAGTAAAACTGGCCCTAAGTTCTCAGTCCTCGAACACTTACAAGTGGCCTATCCAGACATGATTCGAAAGGAACCTTTACAAAGCAAAACAAGTGTGAATCCACTAGCATTTTTGAATAGCGAGCAGTCATCAGATTTATTCTAACTTAAGCAATATTCTTCTCATATGAGGCTAAGATCGGAACTAACCTGAAGGTTCCTCTGTGCTGCTTGCAGTGGTGGTTGGTGGAGCAATGGGAATTTCTGTTCCAAAAAAAGAGAGCACAGTTAGCAAAATAAATAAAGCATGAGAAAAAATTAAATAATGAAAATTAAACCTACATCCTAAAAAAATGCTGGGTTAAAAAGGGACAAACCCAGCTATTGGGTTGTTTTAACCCAGCTATTTGGTTGTTTTGACCCAGCGGTTGGGTTCAAAACATCCCAACCGCTGGGTCAAAACAACCCAATAGCTGGGTTTGTCCCTTTTTAACCCAGCGCTGGGTTATATTTAACCCAGCATTTTTTTGAGTGTAATTAAAACTAAACAATTATAATTTAAGATCGAGATTCAAAAGACAATTCCTATGTTTTATTGTATTTGAACCATTTAAAAACATGATACTGGTTTAACATTACAAATCCATTCGCAAAGTGGTTTACAAAACGTTGGTTCACAGAAGGGCATAAAATTTGCGCAACGGAATTACTCTTTTGCTGTTATGAAAAACAGTGAGATACATGTCCAAGACTTGATTCTTTCATCCTTCCTTCCATGGCCTTTTCATGAATGGAGGGAAGTTTACACTCAGTAAAGCCATGCGTGACGAAAGACCATTGCAGCAAAGTGATTGAATTCATAATAGTGGTTAAAAATAACAATACTCTTTTGCCATATTGGAACATAAATATACAAGAAGAAAAGGCAGTTACTGCCATGAGGACAAAACAAGGACTGAAACAGCTTAAGCATACTAAGAGAAATATGACGAAGTTGATAAAAGAGTGCTCATGTGCTCTGTGGAGCTGGTGCAAAAGCATGCAAAAAAGAGCCATTTGAAGGAAGAAAGAATCAAGTCTTCTGATTTAAAAAAAATTCATGAACGATCTTCTTCATCTGGTGGGGTTCTCATAAAAACACTGTTTTTATGCTGTTGTTGAACTGTGACCCTAAGAAATATCACAGAGCCAAAATATGTTTTTGTTGCTTTTATGGTGCTTTGGCCAGTAAACAAGGCTTAAATAATGATCTCACTCTGTAATGTTACTCATTTTGGATGACATGTCGAATCTTAAAAATTGGACAAAAGCACACATACCATATTGAGTGGTTTAAAGTGTAGTTCAATAAAGAACTACCAAGGAAAGTCCATTTTTGCTGTTGGCGTTTTGGAAAGATGTGCGCTGTACAATGATACGCATTTTCTGCGGTGGTCTTACTTCCAATATCAGCACTATACATCTTGGGCTCCGCTTGGTGAACATGGGAATGAGTTTAATGCCAGATTAAATTACAGTACAAGCCTGTTATAAATATTTGAACCCTATTGATTTATGGTCTTCAGAATAAGAGGACATAGTAGTATTTGTAGCCAAGACTTCCTCGTGTTAAACTGAGCTTGGCACAGATTTTGATACTGCTTAAATTTATATGGGCTATTAAAATAAAAACAGATTATTTCACAATTATGAGAGAAACTAAATATTTTCAGTTCAATTACCGGAGTGTGCACCTTTCCAAGTTTCACACATCAGTGCTTGAGATTTTCCCAGGAAAATGTAAGGTATAAGATTCCAAAAAGTTATAGGTTGAATTTATTCCATTAAACTCCCTGCCAGAAATTTCTCCAGAGCTATTTCTTTTTTCTTTTTTTTTTGGTATCCAAGCATTGTTTTATCGACAAAAGCACCAATTAAACAGTTTGATTTGAAATGCAAACACCAGTGATGGTTAGCTTCATTCATTATCATGCAGTGAAGATACTTTTAAACTTTTGTGTTCTTTTAAAACAATTTTAAGAATCTTAAAACTGATTACTTTGTAATCAGTATTTGCTACTTTGGTGTACCTTGTAGAGCGTCCTTGAGCTTGGGAAAGGCGCTATATAAATTAAACATTATTATTATTATTAAAATGCCATAATTTTACTGATTTGGTCTATGAAGTAAAGAATGTCAAGTGATAATTCTGTGGAATGACCTTAACAAGACATGGTTTCAAATTCCTTCCACTGTGATTGTTCATAAATGCAGATTTTCATGAACCGTTTCAGCTCAATATGTCAACGCATTCCATGGACAAAAACATTTGTAAGTGCATTATGGCTCATTGGGGATTGAAGTGGTTAAAAAAATAGAGATCTTGACATTGAGTGATCCACATACTTATGCAGGGGGCAATGGGAGATCGGCTCTGCTGGTAGCCTTTAGCACAACGGTTGCATGTGATACCCGTCACACCGTCTTTACAGGGGCATTGGCCTGTGGTTTGGTTACAGGTTTTGCCCGCGGCCCCCACAGGATGGCAATCACAGGCTGTGAGGAACAGAAGAAAAGAGATAAAAGAACACGCGTGTGGGGAAACGCACATACATACATACATACATACATACAAAAAGCACAGATAAACAGTAAAAGTAGCTTTTAGGGCCCAAGTCTGGGGAAATAAGAGGGTGAAGATTGGTGAAGCAGTTGAAAAAAACACTGTGTGTTTTGTGAAAGTGGTGACCAGTCTCTAAAGAGTGTGTCTCGTGACAAGAGCATGCACACACATACAAATTCAACATAAAACTTGGCTATGAAAGTCAATGGTTTTGCAAAGTGGCTTGAGAATGTCTTTTTTCTCAGTATGCATGGAACTTACAGCAGGGCACTTCAAGGAAAAGCCTCACTATACAGTTGTATCTGGCCTCTAAATGTATCAATGTAAAAGTCACCCTTGAAATGTCATTGTACTTGATAAAAAAAAAAAAATCAAACTAAAAAAATATCAAACCTAATATATGCAAACAAATAATGCTAGAAGTTTTTCCCCCCCAGAATTTGCCTCACATTTGAGACATTTTTATATTTTATATATTTATATGTTCACACAGGTGTCACATCGACTAGTCATTTTCTGCTATTTTCCAATAAAAAAAACTCAATATTTTTTGTCTTTTATCAACAATACTCTTTTTCAAGTGAAATATGTTGCATGAAAGGATTCCTTTACAATGCCACTTTTTATACAATGCAAAACTTTTTATACATTTTTAAGAGTTTCTGAAATATCTGAACACTTTTTGGAACCACTCTATAACAATATTCAAATTGGCAAAAATATCTTAGAATAAACACATTTCCTGAAAATATATTTCCATAACATGTGCTTTTTTTTTTCCATCAGAACATTGTGCTTGTGCCAATAATGTCTGTCACATTTCCTTCCTCTTGGGAGGTCTTTCTCCAACATATGGCTCAGCGACTCTCTCCACTTTTTAAAGCTTGTGAACTGATTGTATTGCCTTTGTGTCAAAACTCCTTTCAAGTCCGTTTTCTTAAATTCCCACCATGGGTGGTTACATTAAAGTTATTTTGCAAAGAGTGCAATGCCATTTAATCAATATTTCCCCCACCGACACTGTAGAAGTGATATGCTGTCAAATGTTTAACACATTAAATGAATAAATTGGCTCATATATTTGTATGAGTAATGAAGCAGAGAGAGTTGTGCTTAAACTCTATTTCTTTTAAGCCTATGCTAAGAGCAGTGAAGTTCCAGTCCCAAAGTTGGAACGGCGCAGAGAGACAGCCACTCCCTGCATGGCTGTCTCTTGTCGCTAGTCACTCTCTTGTCATCAAAGCCAAGTTTATGTCTTGTCTTTGGAGTTGTCATTAGGTAGAAAATTGCTACACTTCATCTCTCGTCACAAATGTGCAGCAAACCACCCTAAAGATTCAATAAACAGCTCAGCTGACTAATTCCTTATAAATGAAACAGCTTCACACCCTTAAATGTGGTTTTCTGTCTTTGTGGAAATGGATGATCCAGAGTCTGAAATGCTGAGGTTTCTGTTGCAA